GACTGACTAAACGAATGGCCTCATCCATCATTACCTGTTTTTAACTATCCAGTGCTTTCTTCCCTTCTGGGTGCCATAGCCCACTGCCAGCACCGCATGGTTCAGATTGTCGCTGTTGCAGCTTTCATCATAATACACACCTAGGAAACACGATCATGGTGAGGCTCTCTTCAAGACAAGGGTGGCCTTGTGGGGTCTCTGAGGGTAGGAGACCCCCTGTAGACTTCTAGCCCACCTAGGAGGCCTTTTCCAACAGAGATACTCCAGACTGTAGCACCTACTACTTATTTCTCTCTGCCTGACACGGTCTGAATATGAAACTAAGGGCTCAAAGTGTCCTCTGATGCCACCACACCACATCCTGAAAGACAGCTGACTGTGCTCTATGAGGACAGCTGCTTACCTTTGCTGTAAAAGTGGAAGGAGGACAGGCTGGCATCGATGGCCACAGAGATGGGTCCTACCCGGGCCACTGCCCTCTTCAGGGCTTTCTCATTCCCCTCAGGGATCTCTCTGTACCCTCTGCATTTGGCAGCCTTGCCTGTTGGGTTGTACATACAACTTTCATCCTGGAAGAAACAAAGTGGCGAGAGGCTTGGCACACAGCAGTCGCCGATAAGCTGGTAAGGGAGAAACCTCCGTGTGGCTGGCCTCTTCACTCTGAATAATGGCAACAGCAGCAGCAGCAGACAAAAGCCTAGAATAGAGAGGGCTTGTTCCTACCTCACCGTTTTAGAAGACCATAAACAATATGAAAACTGGACCCCTACCTTCCACCAGACACGAAAATTAATTCCAGGTGATCTTAAGATATAACTGTGAAAGAAAAAGCTGTGAAACTTAGAGAGAATATGTTGATTGTTTCAGGATAGGGAAAGAGTTTTGAGACAAGAGTTCTAAAAAATTATCTTCTGGCCATGTAAGTATGCAGAAGCCTCAAAGGGTAGGGAGGTGTGAGGCCAGGCCAGATCAATGAAGGGCCGTATCCTTGAGCACCATTATCAGTGGGGCCATGGCCAGTGTGGGCCAAAGAGTTCTGACTGGACCCTTGTGCCCCCATCAGCCCAATGTCATCACGCTTATTTGGACTCTTCACGACTCTATAGGACAGAGTTGAACCACCTTGTAGTTTCCTAGTTTGTAATTTTTACAGAAGTGGGCAACGACAACTGACTCGTGCAGAGCAGCTGATGGGATTGAACTGCTGACCTTCCATTTGTACATGGGAGCTAAACCACCTGCACTACCAGGCTCCTTTGCTCCCATCAGAGATAGTTATAAAAACACAGTGCATTGGACTAAAGCAGAGTGATGAATAATGCTAACAACTGAGCCTGTGCTTTTCCAGCACTATGTTTGCAGGTCTAGTTGGCAATGATCTATTTCATTGGCAAACCACAAATGATTGAATGACAGGTGGGCGTGTCCTTTCTAGCAGTTCATTTTACTGCAGGCTCTTCTAAACCCTAAGCTTGTCTCTAAAATAAAAAGGTATTCTCTACATATTAATAGTAATAGGAGCACTTGACGTGCTATTTGAAGGCTGCAGTGGTCTTCTGCCTTGGTCATTTCTCCAAATCCCTGTCTTCTCTTCTATGTGATCCAAACCCCTGATGCCGCCTGCTACTAGAGACTGCACAGATCTACAAGTAGAACAGAGTATCTTGGGGAAAGACTCAGAAGGATGTTATGCACTACTACTTTAAAGTCATAATAATTTCTTTGGGACAAACATTATACAGTGAA